AAAAAAAAAAAAAAAAAAATCATTAAGAAATGCGTCTTACATTTTTGCACCTGTAGCTAATGCAAACTACTGATGTATGTCACCAAATATTTATAAAGCAAGTCCCTCAAAATTTTCTGAATTCTACTAAAGGTTAGGACTTGGAAGTAACATGTAGATAGAATCAAACCGAGTGATTCTTCATTCTTGTCTGATATTTTTGTTTTTTCTTCTTTCGAGTAAAATACATGAAGGCCATGCGTAAGTATTTACTTATTCCAAATGTAGCAGAGTTAAATCTTGTATAACTATATCCATGTTTTGCAGTTAATTTCACTAACTGAACTGTAATGTCACTTTTTCCTATTTGTACCGAAATATTAGGTACATGGGTTCGTTCAAGACAACAAAACCGGCGAGAAGGTAGCGTTTTTACTGGGAAAATGGGACGAGGCAATGTATTACGTGATGGGCGATCCTTCCACGAAGGCCAACGGTTATGATCCCATGACAGAAGCCGTTTTGCTCTGGGAAAGAGATAAATCAGTTCCCAAAACGAGGTACAATCTGACGCCCTTCGCCATATCTCTGAATGAGTTGACTTCTGGTCTACAAAAGAAACTGCCGCCAACAGACTCGAGGCTGAGGCCCGACCAGAGGCATTTGGAGAACGGTGAGTATGAGATGGCGAATGCCGAGAAGCTGAGGCTCGAACAATTGCAGAGACAGGTGAGATTTAAACTTTTAAAAAGAACCCGTTTTATACATATTTCGTGTTTGCATATGCCAATTATATGACTATTGCATACAATCTTTGAGATGGGTTTATTCAACTTAGGGAACCATTAAATTTGCAGGCAAGGAAGCTGCAAGACAGAGGATGGCATCCGAGATGGTTCCGGAAGGATGAGGAAGGTTGTTATCGGTACATAGGTGGATATTGGGAGGCTAGAGAGAAAGGTAGCTGGGAGGATATACCCGATATATTCAGGCAGCCTTGCGAACTCCCTGTTAGTTTAGCCGAGGCAGGAAAGTCATAGAACTGCCTCTCAAGTTTATGATATTCGATCCATTTCCACTGTTTTTATGGGACCATACAGGAAACGACCAAAAAAAAAAAAAAAAAAAATGGCCGATTTCAACGAGCATGTCATGATCCTGTGTTGCCTGTTTATCCTACTAATATGTTTTGCCGTGTAAATTTTGATTGCAATACACAATGTTGAAATGGAGTCGGCTAATTTCACCATGCCCCCCTTTTTTTTTATCGAAAATCAGTATACTTTTAACAGGCATTATATGTCCTTTCAAATTAAGAACACCTGCAAGATCTTTTGTATATGTATGTAGTGTAGATGTCTCTGTTCTTTTGTTTGTAAGTTACTTGAATATAATTCTGAATTTTGTGAATTGTGAGTTGTATATGAAACCATCAACAAGATAAACTATGGATCTTTATATTTCCCTCAAACAGGAACACAATAAAGACCGAACAATTATCACACCATTGGGATATTTCCATTAACTTCACCTTTGTTTAATAACAAAACAACCTTATCATGAGACCATTGGGATATTTCCATTTTCTTCACCTTTATTTAATAACAACACAACCTTATCATGAACATATACAGAGAACCTTATTATCTATGATCATACACAGAAACAGTTAGATACTTGAGGCCTTTGTTACATTATTAAATCTGAGTGATATTGTTTGACAAAACCGAAAACCTTCATGTTAAAAGACCATTTTCATGGCATATGAGACGACCTAACTTTTAAACGGATCGACTCAGTCGTACATTTTTAACAAAAAGATAGTTGATGTTTATACTGAACACAAATCAATCAAGGAATAGGATTATTTAACATGCTAAAATGCAACCACCGAGTATGTATGACAAAGCTAGAGCCACAAAAACAGTAAACCCAATAGTAGTTGTTTATACTGAACACAAATCAATCAAGGAATATGATTATTTAACATGCTAAAATGCAACCACCGAGTATGTACGACAAAGCTAGAGCCACATAAACAGTAAACCCGAATCTGCCAATCTCAACAAAAATGGCTAAAAAGAGATGCGAGACCAGTTTCAAATTAGCACAAGTTCAATACTTTTTACGAAAGATAGCTTCACAATCTAACAAGACAACAAAAAAACGAGAGCCATAGCAAAATACTAGTTTCTTGATAAATCAGTTGAGCCAATCCCTCTCCACTTGTTGCTGATAAAGTTCTTCTCTCATTCTCCTCATCTCAGCCTCCTCCATTCCTCCTGCACGTTACAACAATCATAGACGGGCGAAAAGAAGTTAAACGTCTAATTACAGAACACATCCTTGATGTTCGATCTATATTGCCAAAAAACCACACTGATAACCAAGAGACAAAAAAGCAAAATTATATTTTACTCATGATACGAAACAATCATTAAAAGAAGTTCGGGCAATAAATTTAGCTTGAAATAATTCCAAAAATCAGGCATGCTCCAACTAGTTTCATTTGATCCCTGTTACTTGGTGATTTACGAACATAACATGAATGTAAAATCAAATTAAATGGTTAAACCATACTAACTTCTAGGTAATCAGATTAGAGGCATGCTAATAACTGTCAATTGCTTATATACATGTACAAATATAAATATTTCATCAACAATCATGTAAGGGCTCGGTTATACACATGTTCTTGTAGTCTTGCCACCAATTAAAGAAAAAAAATACAAAAAACTGTCCGACCAGCCTGCCACAACCATATCCATATAAATGTACCTCAACAACTATAGTAATATGTCAAAAACCCTTCCCTTTGTGAATACTTTCTTTTAAAGGGCTAAAACCCAAGCAAGATAGCTCACAAAAAGATTTTGCTCAAAACAATCACTCTTTTGCTAACAGAGCTAATAAATGGGGAACACAGAATTTTGTTGGCACAAACCGTTGTTTCCTCATCACCAGCTGTCTTATTGCCTTCTATGATTGCTTGGGAAACGCTTATGAGATTATTCTAGCATTTTATCGACAAATAGGGCTAGCATTTGGTCCTTGGTATCTTAAAAAAAAACTTCACTAACAAAGAGAGATCACAATGAAGAGGTAAATGCATACTCAAAACATCTAGTTATTGAGAAATAAGTCAACTTAGATTCACAAGAACTAAACTCAGTTTGAAATCCAAGTTCTCGGACAACAATAAATATGTTATAAAAGATATCTTATTCTTCCTCCCCAGAAGAATTAATAGATTCTGTTGAAGAAGTTTTTCTCGCTTGAAAACACACACACACACACACACGCACAATGCAACTAGAGAATGATTCAAAAGGAGACTTGGGAGCACAGGAAAGAGAGCTTATTTCACTGTTTAGGGCACTTGTAGCAGTCAGTCGCTCATTGGGATCAATTGAAAGTACAGTATACATTTGAGCTGAGCCAATGCTGATGCCGAAAAATCTTTAATTTCATGCATCTTTTATATGATTGTGGTTTAAATACAGCTGCATGAGAGAATTTTGACTTTTTCTAATATTCTTCAGATGGAGACCATAGAGCTTGAGAATAATGTGCAGTTGTTTCACTTTTACCTAAACAACAGTTATAGCATTCAATTGAACTATAAAGCTAGCATAAGCAAACTTATGCTAACACAACTTCAAAAGTTACACTAAAAAAAAAAAATTGTAGGAATAAACCATCAACATAAGCATGCAAGTAAACAAAAAACAATGAAAAAAAAAAAGCATGCAAGTTAGTCAAAGCCGTCTTATTTTAGTGTAGTTCCATGAGAACAAAAGGATAGGCTGCAGGAAAAGCTTATTGAACACAGTTATTGATTAGGAGTTTAGCACCAAACAAATGAGGATATAAACTAATGCAACTACAATGACAACTAGCAGAGGCCTTACCTAAAATAACAAACTTCGTGCTTCATCAAAATTCAAAAGAACAAAAAAACGTAACACTAAAAGCAAATGTCATAGCTGGTTTAGTATGCAAATTCAGATTTGGCTTAGAACTTTTCAATGTATAATCTACCCAAGTATTGAGTGATGAAGACCCTGATAATCTCAATGAGAGTTTACAAACTTCAGCTTCAAGAGAAACAACCAAGCTGAAATTGCATTTGACTTACCACAGAGATGATGGCTTCACTTCCTGATATAAGTCTTGAAGTTGTCCCATCCTTCTTCGCATCTGGACTCGGTGGCATTGTCGGCGATGAAAAGCCGAGGGTCATTATAAAACCAAAATAACGCCCTGAGCCTACTGAGAGAGTTGGCCATATCTCCCCTCATGTCATTCAATTCCCCAAAATTGAGTGGGACGAGACCGTTGGGAGGATCGGCACCAACTTGATAAACGTGGTTCAAGTTGACCCCTGGAACATTCGGATGGTCCACAAACGGATGACCGGCAAGGATCTTTGGCGGCACTTGAAAGGGTACGAGACGCTGGTTGTATTTAATGGATTGGTTGAAGCTTCTCGCGGTACTTACGCGGATGAATGTGTCCAACTTCGTGTTGAAGTCATTTATGGCCTCCTGGACTTGTAGATGACCCCGTTGTTGAGCCTGTCCATGAGCATGAAGGTCATCCCGAAGCTCAACCTGAAATTGGCCTTGGGCATTTTGGAAGTTTTGTAACCGAACTTGAATTCGGTTTTGGCCATCTCGGAGGGTTTCAAGCATCGCCCTCAGTTGGGGGTGGACAGGTACAACACGCACAGAATTGTATCGAATCTCGGCCATTGCCGCATCGACTGCGTTAATTGGATGCACTTCACTTGATTTCTCGAACGTCTTCCTCCGGTGACACTCGCCATTTGGAATTTCCTCAGTCAATGTGAAATCCGGCGCTACGTAGTCTCCGAGGGCAGGCAAGGCTGGCAGATGAGCCATGAGATTTGATGCAACAAAGTAAAAAGATCGAGGCGAGAGAAGCTAAACCTAGGTAAGTGGAACGATCGAAGAAGCTAGGGCCAGAGTGGGAACGATAGAACTCATGTCCAACAAGACTACTATTTCTTAACCCAAAAGTGGGCCAATAGCCCAAATTTATTTTAGATGGTGGGATTCTAAAATATTAAAATATTCAGCTAATTTGCACTTGAACTAACTTCCCTTGAAAAATGCTCCGACTGAGATCTCTCGTTAATATATTATAACACCCTGTATTATATGGGTGTTTGTTAAAAAATTATTTTTAAATTTTAAAATTAATGAGAAAACTAGTACAACGCCTATATATTATACGGGTGTTTGTTAATTTTTTTCTTAAAATCTAAAATTAATGAAAAAAAAAATTGAAAGTTTAAATACATTTTATAAAAATTTATATATTATTATATAATTAGTATGACACTTTCTATTTGTGCGGCTTACATATGTTATAGTATAATATTTTTTTTAACTTACAACATATAACTACATTAAACATAAATATATCACTTGAGAAAATAATTTTATTTTTCTAATGAATTTTAATAAATAATATTATTTTTTTATTATTATAAAGATAAATATAATTTATTTATTTCATATATACAAATGGATATTAAATCGAAGATCATTAAAAGATGATTAATTTGATATATTATATATATAAAACCGATAAGATATACAAAAGTTATCAACTTTTAAAATACATTTACAATTCAATAGTTAACTTAAGGAAACAAATCAAAAGTCAGGGATATAATAGTCACTTAGGGGATGATTGGATATAAAAAATTTTGGTTTTATTTGAATTTTTTTATTTGGTTCGGTTAATTTTTAGAAAGGTGGTATGTTTAGATGTTAGTGGGTATATTAAAATAATATTTAAATAAAATAATTAAAGTTGATTTGATGTAAAAAGTAAGAAAGATAAATTGAAGTGATAGTTAGTTAAAATTATGTGAGAGGATGAATAGTGAATTAAAGATGATGTGTGTGTTGTGTAAATGATTGATTAATATTATTTAATTATAGTAAAATATTGATGATAGTGGGTTGAGTTAAAGTTGAGTTAAAAAAAATTGTTGAGTTAAAAATGATTGAATTTTTTTGAGATTGTTTTGTATCCAATCATGCTCTTAGTGCCTCACTATGTAAAATTACAAAGAACTAAAGGGTTATATTAGTACAAGTGATATTAAAATACCTAAGTTAGCTAAATAATATTTATGGAATGACCGAACCTAGATTATTAATTATTAATATATCAATATTATTTGTCGAAACCTAATTACGAAGCATGATTTTTCGCCAAGTAGGATTCCGAAGCACCAGAAGCAACCACGTACGCTCAGCGCATTCGGAAATTATATATATAGGGGTGATAGGGGTGATTATATTAAATTTAGTTTACTTTTTTACAAAAAAATATATTATTACATATTTTAAAATGATAAGTGTTACTTATGACTTACATGTGTTAAATTATATTAGTTCTTATAACATATATAGTATAACTACTTGAAATATAAATATATTAGTTGATAAATAATTTTATTTTTCTAATTAATATTAAAAATAATGTTATTATTGTTATAAAGATAAATATAAATTATTTTTTTATACATACAATATGGATGTTAAATCAAAGCTCATCAAAAGAAGATTAATTTGATTTATTACATATGTAAAACGGATAAAAAATACAAAAGTTATTAACTTTTATTATATATATATAATTCAATAGTTATAATAAGGAATGATAGTAAAATTCAATTAATACATGTAACATGACCATAAATAATCAACATATTTATGGTAATCCGAACATAATTATTTTTTTGTTTGGAATTAAATTAGAATTTACTCAAGCCTAATAACAAAGTATGTAATTTTGTCACATATAAGTCTGAAGCACCAGAAACAGTCACGTAAGCTCAGCGCGTTCTGGATTAATATATGGGGATAGTCAATTTTTGTCCCAAAAAAAAAAAGCTCCTCCATCTATAAAATTTAATTTTTATTTGTATGTTTTATGATTTTTCAACTATAAATTATTAACTAATTGCAGTGTTTATGAATGAGTGATAGTAATAAAATGTTCTTGTCATTGATTTCCAAATTTCGTCTTTTTTTTTTTTTTTTTAAGTACGACATATCAATAAAATGCTCACAAACTCTATATCCCATTTAGTTTAGGGAAATGTTATGGTCTCATTACGGAACCATTCCGTCGAGATTCGTAATCGTTAGATCATCATGTAACCGTCGGGATAGTTGATCTACCAGTTAGAAATTCCGACAGAATAATTTTGTAACGGACCGTAGCATCTCCCTTTAGTTTATTACATTTTCCCCACTTAATGCAATCTTAGAAACAGGCAAATAAAAATTAAAAAAAAAAAGGAAGGGCAGAACCCCGTATTGCAAAGATCATAGAATATGTTTTCGTGCGGAATCAACTAAAATTTTTCATTTAATTTTTCTTTGAGGTGATAAGGAGATAATGATGGAATATATTGTTCGAGCACCTCTTATTATTATTAATAATGATAATGATTTATATATTATCAAAAATCACCCAAGTTGATTTTGCTGCCTCATGATAATATGCATAGAAGCACTTTTCCCCCAAAATGGCTAAAGTCTATGGAATCTCTCTTCCCTCTTGACTGTAAAGAGGCTAATCTTGAATCCAAGAGTGTTTGGATGAGATGGCTTGAATCTCTTCCAATTTAACCAGTGTTCTCGTGTTCGAGCCTTGGAAATGCAACAGTGTTAAAAACTCTTGAGGGAGAGTTTTGCCACCCTTGTGGTCCTACCCGGCTCGATTCCGGATTAGTCAGTTCCCCTGTGGATCCATAAACCGTAAGGTCCCTGTACTAAAAAAAAAAGGTCAATCTTGAGTCCATTAGCAACTAAATTTGCTTTAATTAGCATAAACTACCCAACTGTAATTGATTATAATATAGACTCTCATAATCAGTGGCGAAACCAGAATCCGAATAAACGGATGACCGATTTTTCATTGGACCACAACAATTTTTTTTTTCACAACAATACCAAACAAACATAAAACCAAACAAAAACTATTTAAAATATCATTCAAATAATGTTATACAAAACATTAAAACAAGAAAGCAACTTAACTTCCGACCGAGTGAGAAGAATGACTATGATTTGACAGACGACTGTATTCTTCGGGACGCTATCTTTTGAAACCTCTGTAAAATAACTTCATCTTCAATTTTTTCAAAGAGTTTCATTTCAATGTAACACACCAAAATATCTGTCAGAAATATCCCCCATCTTGTTACGCAAATCAGTCTTAATAATTTTCATCGAGGAGAAGGCTCTTTCAACAGTAGCTGTCGCGACGGGCAAAACTAGAGCCAACTCGATGAGCCGATAAACTAACTTGAGGGTAGTGTGCCATTTTCTCTCAACCATTCTCTTTGCAAGATCTCCAATACTCTGAAGACCAGAGAAAAATGTACGCTCAGATGTTGTGACTACATCGTGAAACTGATTAAATTCTGCTTTTTAGCTTGAGCTCATCATCAAAATCATTTGGATAAACAGATGTTATAAAAATAATCTTATTCTTCCACCCCAGAAGAATTAATAGATTCTGTTGAAGTTTTTCTCACTTGAAAATACACACACACACACAATGCAACTAGAGAATGATTAAGAAGGAGACTTGGGAGCACGGGAAAGAGAACTTATTTCACTGTTTAGGGCACTTGTAGCAGTCAGTCGCTCATTGGGATCAATTGAAAGTACAGTATCCATTTGAGCTGAGCCAATGCTGATGCCGAAAAACCTTTAATTTCATGCATCTTTTATATGATTGTTGGGGTTTAAATACAGCTGCATGAGAGAATTTTGACTTCTTCTAATATTCTTCAGATGGAGACCATAGAGCTTGAAAATTATGTGCAGTTGTTTCACTTTTACCTAAACAACAGTTATAGCATTCAATTGAACTATAAAGCTAGCATAAGCAAACTTATGCTAACACAACTTCAAAAGTTACACTAAAAAAAAAAAAATTGTAAGAATAAACCATCAACATAAGCATGCAAGTAAACAAAAAACAATGAAAAAAAAAGCATGCAAGTTAGTCAAAGCCGTCTTATTTTAGTGTAGTTCCATGAGAACAAAAGGATAGGCTGCAGGAAAAGCTTATTGAACACAGTTATTGATTAGGAGTTTAGGACCAAACAAATGAGGATATAAACTAATGTGACTACAATGACATCTAGCAGAGGCCTTACCTAAAATAACAAACTTCGTGCTTCATCAAAATTCAAGAACAAAAAAACATAACACTAAAAGCAAATGTCATAGTTGGTTTAGTATGCAAATTCAGATTTGGCTTAGAACTTTTCAATGTATAATCTACCCAAGTATTGAGTGATGAAGACCCTGATAATCTCAATGAGAGTTTACAAACTTCAGCTTCAAGAGAAACAACCAAGCTGAAATTGCATTTGACTTACCACAGAGATCGCTTCACTTCCTGATGCTTCACTTCCTGATATATGTCTTGAAGTTGTCCCATCCTTCTTCGCATCTGGACTCGGTGGCATTGTCGGCGATGAAAAGCCGAGGGTCATTATGAAACCAAAATAACGCCCTGAGCCTACTCAGAGAGTTGGGCATACCTCCCCTCATGTCATTCATTTCCTCCAAATTGAGTGGGACGAGACCGGTTGGAGGATTGGCACCAACTTCATAAACTTGGTTCAAGTTGACCCCTGCAACATTCGGAGGGTCCACAAACGGATGCCCGGTAAGGATCTTTGGCAGCACGTGAAAGGGAACGAGACACTGGTTGTATTTAATCAATTGGTTGAAGCTTCTCGCGGCACTTACGCGGATGAATGCGTCCAACTTCGTGTTGTAGTCATTTATGGTCTACTGGACTTGTAGAAGAGCCCTTTGTTGAGCATGAATCTCGACCCGAAGCTGAACATGAAATTGGCCTTGGGCATCTTGGAAGTTTTGAAACCGAGCCTGAATTTGGTTTCACCATCTCGGAGGGTTTCAAACATTGCCCTCAGTTGGGGTGTATGAGTACAATACCATTATTTCTCCTCATAAGCACAGAATTGTACCGAATCTCGGTCATTGCCGCATCAGCTGCATTAATTTGATACATTTCACTTGATTTCTCGAACGTCTTCCTCCGGTGACACTCTCTAACAATTTGTTCATCTGTTAGGATTGCGCCATCTGGAATTTCCTCGACGTTGATTTTAGTCAATGTGAAATCCGACGCTACACAGTCTCCGAGGACAGACAGACTGGCAGATGAGCCATGAGATTTGGTGCGACAAATGGAATGATCGAAGAAGAGGGACATTGAATGGGCTGGACCATTGAATGA